AGGCAGACAGTTTCTTATCAGCTGTCCGTACCGGTGGCAGAGCACTTATGGTTTCTAACCGTTTGCAATGACACTGGTTCACATCTTACCACATAATGTCTACTTCTACAGAACATATTATCCCAAAATGTCTACATCTATAGCACAGCTTCACAACATAATGTCTACATCTACAGCATACCTTTACACCAGAATGGCTACATCTACAGCACATCTTACCACATAATGTCTACTTCTACAGCACATCTTACCACATAATGTCTAGTTCTACAGCATACCTCTACACCAGAATGGCTACATCTACAGCACAGCTTCACCACATAATGTCTACTTCTACAGCACATCTTACCACATAATGTCTAGTTCTACAGCATACCTCTACACCAGAATGGCTACATCTACAGCACAGCTTCACCACATAATGTCGTCTTCTGCAGCACATTTTACCACATAATGTCTAGTTCTACAGCATACCTCTATACCAGAATGGCTACATCTACAGCACAGCTTCACCACATAATGTCTACTTCTACAGCACATCTTACTACTAATGTCTACATCTACAGCAGACTTTTACCCCACAATGGCTACTTCTACAGAACATACAACCCACCTTCACCACAAAATTACCACTACAGCACATCTTTACCACACAATGTGTACTTCTGCAGGACACCTTTACCACACACATAAACTAATGGAAACTGATATCTTTGCTTAGAATAACAGGCTGGAAATAATCAAATCTTCCAGAAATATACTGCACAGAATCAACCACTCCAGTCAGACATGAACTTTTCCCATAGTTTACAAATACCAATTCGCTCTGTTCTGCACAATTCTCAGGGCTTCTCCCACCAGAAGCCACATCTGACTCATCTCCACAAACATACAGTGTGTTTCCAACACTCACACATCCACAGATCTGCCACTGAAAATCCCAAAGCATTCCCATAAATCTGAAATTCTCTTGACCACTGCAAGTGTTGATGATCTTATGCACTGCACCCCTACCTTGCAGAAGGTAAGTACTCATGCCATATTTGAAACTGAAAATATCTGCCTGACCTTTTAGATCACTCAGCCTGCTCCATGTTGCTGTGGCAGTATCTAAGCAATGAACAGTGGTTTCTGTTGAATTTTCCAACTCTTGACAAAACACCAAGATGCTTCTCTCAAATGCAATGGCACCACCTATGAGGCCATTAGCAGGAACACTTTCTAGTGTTTTGGCAGCCACTCCTGTGAAGGGCAGATCAAGCTTCTGCACCTTCTTGGTTATTGGGTGGAGGAAATACATGGAACACCCATGTGATACTAGAATATGTTCAGTACCAGACACATCTGTCACCTTCTGCCATTCTGATTCTTTCCGAATAAAAAGTTGCCCAGAAACACTAACATGTGCATTTGCTCTATTCTGCAGAGTACTAAATGTTACCCCATTTCGCCTATTAAAAGAAAAACTGCTTGACTGGAGTACACAAGATGACCAAGGACTGGCAAATGCATACAGGGTGTTATCAAAAGCAGTTAAAGTAATATAAGATGAACAAAATCCTGCAAAGGCCTTACAATGATGCCATGTTCTGAGATCAAGGACAGGCAGAACAGACATTCGGCCATCAGCGTATCCAGCAATAACAATATTTGCTGAATGACTATTTTTTCTGTGAAGAGCTGAGGATGGCCATTGTCCATGCCTCTGTCCAACACGCAAATGATATACAATTGCTCTGTCCACAGCTTCCTTTGCTTCCTGGTGCTTCCCCACCATCTCACAAGCCATTAGCATTACAATACACTCTGGGCTGACCAGTTCCAGTCTTGCAGCAGTAAGCAACTTTCCTAAGTGCTCCTTGCGATGAACAGGGTTAGATTCCGTAAGGTAGCGATCGGGAAGACAGCTGACCCACTTCAAAACTGCATCCACAACTGTGTCTTCGGTAGTAACCACCAGGTCATGACTATCAATTAGCTTTAACAAAGTATCTATCGTGATGTCCAAAAAAGCATCACACTCCTTAAAAACATCAAACTGCTTCTGCATCATTTCAAATGTTGCCTGTAAGACTTTTTCTGATCTGGTAATAAAAGCAATTTTGTAAACTGTTCCAATGTTTTCGACAGTCAAGTGTTTCAGAATAAAGCTGATGCACACATCAACCAGAAAACTGATGTCAAGTTCATGACATGCAAGCCAAAGATCTATGACGTTGCTTGAAGTAACAACATCCTTGCCTGTGTACAATGCCTCTAGAATTGTTTCAAAAGTTGCTCTAGAAAATGAAGTAAAAGTTACTGTAGTTACATTAACTCCCTTATGCTTGGGGTGCAGCAGATCTGTAAAATAGGTGGAACAGGCACACAGGATAAAACTGTGGCAATGTATCTTTGTATTTTCTATAATTACTTCCAAATCAGTGTGCCTTCCTGTATGCCACAATTTACTCATAGAATTGAATATCCCCTCCTTAATTCTGTTAGAAAAGTCTTCAGGCAAAACTTCAATTTCTTCTGCAGCTGGACTTTCATCCTGTGGCCTAGAGGCTGAATGTCCCATTGTTCATACAATGGAGTCTGGGACTGTTTGGAATTACAACTGTATTCTGGGTCCTCAAAGCTAGTTCTCTGAAAAACAAAAAACTATATTTATTATATTAAAACCTTGTTAATATGAATTTTAAGGGACATAAAATCAAAATGCTATGTTTAAAAACACTGATGCTAACCGCACACTAATAGATGTATTATGAATAATAGATTCCTGCTGTAAACCAAAATTTGTTTATGTTAAGCAAGTGTACATCTTAAGCGAGTTGGTATTAATGAGGTTTTACTGTATTACTATTATACTGTTTCATCATCAATTCTCCTTATGCCTAGTGGCACATAAGGCTTCAGAGAGGACTTTCCATGCTCTCCTGTCCTGTGGAATCTTCAGTGCAGTTTTCCATGTCAAAGATGCCGCACTCAGGTCACTTTCCATCGTTTATCCCCATGTTGTTTTTGGGCGCCCCTTCTTTCTCTTTCCCTCTGATGGCCAAGTGAGAGCTGTTGTTGCAGGTATATCAGGATTCATTCTCATAACGTGGCCAAGCCATTTCCAGCTTCTCTTTGTTATACTGTCTAGAGTTTCTTGATTTGTGATTTGAAGTAGTTTAGTGTCTGAGATTGTATCCGGCCAGAATATTTGATAATTCTAAGTAGACATGTGTGGTGGAAGGTGGATAGCTTGTGTGCATCATTTTTGGTCATTCTCCAGCATTCTGCTTAAGAAGAACTGGCAAAATGGTGCTCTTGTAGTGTCTGAGTTTTATTCCTCTTCAGTAATTGTTTGATTTCCAGATGAACATCATGGCACAGCGGTAGCAACCCATAAATGCTCCATTCTACTTCTAACTCAAGCCTGAGTCTGAAGAATCTCAGCACAGTGCATGAACTCCGCGAGGATCCTGAAATACTTTGAGTAGTAACTCAAAACTCTGCCCGGGCCGTTAGGCTACTCTTTTCGATTTCCAACTGCCAAGGAATTTTCTACATGCACAGCAATACACACAGGCATCCGATCTTTCTACCTAGAGACCAGGAAAAGTTTCTAGAAGTCCACATGACAAAAATCCGAGCCTTCACTGCAGCCTGAACCTGGGACCTCCAGCACTCGAGGCAAACGCCATGCCTCGACCAAAAGTTGCTCTAGCTTTGTTCAAGCGTGATTGTATGTCTACCTCTGTCCCTCCCAGTAGGGATACCACACTGCCAAGATATGTAAACTGTTCCACATTTTTAAGTGTTTGGTTATTTATGGTCACTTTCCTTCCAATTCACAGATTGCCATGTCACAGGGCTTGTCCTATGTTGCAGGGGTGTCAAGCTTAGTGACAGGCCAACAACATGCAGCATTTAACTAGTTGGTGTCACCGGCCTGCCATATTGCGTGTTCTATATTACAGGATGTGAGTGCTTTTAACGGTCCTAAAACATCCAGAACTATAGGCTGCACTCTCTCGTGGGATATAGGCGGCACTCTCTCATGGGGTGTAGGGGTGTTGGGGTTAGAGCCAGTTTTGCATGTTTCGGGACCATTAAAAGTGCTCACATCCTGTAGCACAGAACATGCGATATTGCCGGCCGGTGACAACTTTTAAAATACTGTGTGCTGTTCGCCGGTCACAAAGCTCGACACCCCCACAACATAGGACAAGCCCTGCTTTACGGCAATTTATGAATGGTAAGGGAAGTCACTCTCTTTCTGAGCCCAAAAAGGTGAGATGTACCACATAATGTTTATATGGTAATTTCTTTCATTAAAATGTGAATATTTCTACTTAGAAACATACATGCTTCACTAGGGTACCATTAACTCTTTACGGACGTTTAGCCAGTATACTGAAAATGAAGTCTATCCCTTACAGACGAATCACCAGTTTACTGGATCATGATAGAGACACTTTAATTTTGTTCCGTTTGTGAGGAAAACTAACTTTTATGAACCAGTTTTTGAACAATTAGGATTACCAAAACGAAGTCCTTTCGAGTGTGAAGTTTATCGTGGTTGGTGCACTACTTTGTGATTTGTTTTAGATTTTTTCTGTGCAATATAATTTTGCTGTGTGATTTTTCTGAAATGGCAGCTTCAACATTCACTGCAGATAGAGCTCAAAGAATGACAAAGACGCAGGCTTTAGATCTTATGCAGCGGTTGTTAGATGAAGAAGATAATTCTAGTAGTGATGATAACTTACATTCGGAATTATCTGACAATGATGTAGATGATGATGATCAAGAATATCAGCCATCTGCTGCAAAACACGCCAGACTAAATGGTAAGGGTAAGGGAGAGCAGAAAAATAACAAAGCCTACAGAACTGCCCATACTGCTGCTGCTGTCGTTGATGAATCTTAGCCAGATAGTGACAACAGCAGTGTTGACCTTATAAATAATGAAAATGCACGTGCAGTATCTGTTGCAGACGTTATGGCTTGGGATGAAGCTGAAGAAAATGTTTCGATCGGACCGTCCCTGTTTCGATCAGCTGGGTCTGGAATTCAGGCACCACTGGATGAAAATTTAACACCACTGGATTGCTTATTGACACTGCTGACAACTGATATCATTGACAGCCTTGTTGAAAACATAAATCTTTATGCAGTGGAAAAAATAAAGAAAAATATACCATTGAGAAAGAGATCTACATTGTCTGAGTGGCAGCCAACGACTAGAGAAATTTGTTTTCATTTTCTCAGTGTAGTGATAGCGATGGGAATTACACCGAAACATGACATCAAAGATTACTGGTCTACAATGAACCACAAATTCACACCATGGTTCGAGGTAATGTTTCCAAGAACTAAGCTCTTGCTTATTTACCAGTCAATGCTGCATGCATCAGAACCCAATGCACAAAGCCAAGCAAAGACTGAGCCATTTGTGAAAAATCTAGTAGCAAAGTTTCAGTCAGCATTTTACCCATATGAAAACTTTCTGTTGATGAGATGGTGATTGCTTTCAAGGGCAGGTTTCATGCTAAACAGTACAATGCAGCCAAGCCTCACAAGTATCATATAAAGACATTTGGTCTTTGGGATTCAATCACAGGCTATGTTTATAATCTGCTAATTTACTTTGGAGCAAAAACTGCCTACAACCCTATGCTTGATCCAACATCAACTCATGCTGTAAAAGTATTTTTAACCTTACTGCATGGTGTTGCAAGCTATCATCATTTATTTGCAGATAGATTGTATATATCACTCCCTCTCATACAATTTCTTTTATCCAGGAAATTGAATTATACTGAAACGGTGAATAAAAACCGCAAAGGATTACCGCAGCAGCTAAAACAACAACCAACCATCTTTGGAACTCCCAGATGGTTAGTTAATAATGAGCAGAATATCCTTTGCGTTTCCTGGAGGGATAAAAATCCAAAAAACCTTGCATCCTACTGACCACAAATGGAAGTTCTACATTTGAGGAACGCCAGGAAGGGGATCAAAAGGTTCAGAAACCTAGCCCCATTCACTTATACAATATGAGTATGAATGGCTGTGATCATGTCGATCAAATGGTCTGGTATTATAGTAACCACAATCGCAAAACTAAGAAGTGGTGGAAAAAGGTTTTCATGTGGATCGTGAAAGTGACGCAGGTCAATGCTCACATCTTGTACATGTTATCCCATCATGTTGCCCAAAAGCCAATGAGTCTCGCACATTTCAAAGATGAGCTCATCTAGCAACTAACTGTGCTCTCAGGTCATGAAGTTCCAACAGACATGATCATTGCTGTGGCTCGCAGACCAGGCAAAAGGCCAGCCTTGTCTGACAGTTTTGTTGAGGCAGAACATTTAGTTGACTATGCTGGTGCAGACAGGCAATGTGTACAGTGCAGCAAGAAAGATTCGAAAATGCAGCAGGTTTTACTGCGTTAGATGTGCTGACAAGCCTCATCTGTGCCCCAATGCATGTTTTAGGGCATATAACACCCAGTAAGGTGGTTGTATTCAGGATCAATATCATCATCATTGTCAGATAAATAAAGTCTTAAGTTGTCATTGGGTCAGATAGATAAAGTCTTAAGTCGTCACTGGAATTGCCTTTATATATCATGTAAATATTTCTTCCCTGGCTGTTCTGAAATTTGACGCGCCCGACAAAAATGATGATAAAATCCAAAGTATTTGGAATAATTGTTTCAAAGAAAGACTAGCTGATGCATAATTGAAAAGAGAAGGCATGTGACTTCTTAGAAATGGATAGCTATGTTGCTGAACAAGTAAAAGAATACAGTAAGAACAACACTGCATGTCTAAAATATTTGAGTGTGTCTAACATCCTCTAATGTGGTGTCACTGTTGTATGTTATTGTTGCACTGATCTGTGAATAGTTTACGTGCATTCTGCATTCATTTCTCTTTAATTTGATGTATTACATAGTACTATACAGCCAGTACTTTTTCAACAGGATGGTTTTAGCTTTGTCATATTGCTGTTATAAAATTCAGTAAAACAGTTTTCCTTTTTCATTCGGTTATTCTAAAATTTGACATATCACATAAGAATTGTCATAAAATGCAAAGTATTCAGGATAACTGTCTCAAATAAAGGCTAGCTGATACATAATTGAATAGAGAAGGCATGTGAATTTTTAAGAATGGGAAGAAGAGTTTCTGATCTAGCAAAAAAGTGAGGTAAACACAAAATTTCTCACCCAAAAAAAAAATTCTGTGCGTCTAACATCATCGAATAGGGTGTGATTTTAATATGTTATTGTTGCAATACTGATCCTTAGATAGTTTACATGCATTCTGCATTTATTTCTCTTTAATTTGATGTATTACATGAGCCAGTACTTTTTGCAACAGGACAGTTTTAGCTTTGTCATGTTGCTGTCAAAAAATTATGCTCAAAATTAATGCTGTCCAAACTCCAGAAAAAATGCCGCCTTGAAAGAGTTAAATCCATGTAAAACTCAATGGATGTTAGAAAAAGAATTCTTGTATGCTATAGAGCCAGTTTTAGCATATGGCTGTGAATCCTGGACAATTCAAAGAAGCCAAACAATTCCTTGAGGCCTTGAGAGATGTGATTTGACAAAGGAATCCTTACAAATTTGTGGACAGCTGAAAAGTGATACGCCAGATGTTTTGAAAGAGGCAAGGGCTGGAAGACAGCTTATAACAAATATTAGAAAGAGACAGAAGACAGTCATTAATACTTTATATCCTAATTTTAACCCTTAGAGTTGAACAGGAATTCATATGAACAATCTGCAAATAACTGCAGGCAGGATAGTTTTTCTCACTGACTCACTGTCAGCTATACAGGCCCTTGAGTCCAAACCTACCGACAGCACACTACAAAGTCTAACACAGGAACTTGCTATGTTGTCAAATAAGGCAGAAATTCACTTGCAGTGGATTCTGTCTCACTGTGGCATCAAAGGCAATGAAAGCTCAGATGCTTTAGCAAAAGAAGGCAGTAACAAACCACAGACCTACCAGCCACTATCTTTTCCAGAAGTCAAAACTCTCATTAAGAGAAAATCAGAAACAGATTGGAAAACCAACACTGGTTATAACTACGGAAAAGATTTTCTGAAACACTTGAACAGAACAGACCAAGTCACAGTTTTTCGCTCACGCACTGGACACTGCAGACTCAATAAACACTCACATAAATTAGGTATGAGCCAAACAGCTATCTGCCAGTGCCTTCGTGCTGTACAGACTCCAGAACATGTCCTGCAAGACTGTCCTCTCCTGGCGGAGCTGCGGAGCGACATATGGCAACACCCAGTAGAACTGACAACTAAGCTTTAGGGAAACCTAAGAGACCTTGAAAAGACATCCCAGTTTATGACCCACAGTGGATTATGTGCATGACCAGAGATCACTGAAGAAGAAGAAGAAGAAGAAGAAGAGGAATGTACCCCCAAAAAAACTACTATTACTACTACTACTACTATTACTATTACCATTACTACTGCTACTACTAATAATAATAATCATTTTGGCACTCTTCTGAATACCGGTCCCAAATTACTTACTGTCCAAAACATCCCTTTTAGAGCCTCAAGAGGTTCAAGGGGTTATAAAGAGGTCAAGGGGTTATAAAGAGGTTATACAAAATATGGAACATGAACAACAAAAAAAGGAACAATATGTACCAATAATGCCGTGAAATAATTGAGGCCATCATCATCAGTTTCCAAGTCTAATATGTCCCTAACTACGACCTCTTGAGGCCCTAAATGGGATTTTTTGTCTTTGAATAATAAGGGTCCGTTAATCGGAAGAGTGCCTACCTTAATTTATAGCCGTGGATACGTCTGAAATAACCTATACATAATATTATTAATATAATAACAACACATTTATTTACTGGATTTGTAAGCAATAATAATATATCGATCTTAAGTACTGTGTAATCTGACAGTAAAGTAAAGACCCATTTTCACGCCTTTAGGCACATAGGGCATAAGGGAAGAGCACCCATATTTTGCAGACCAATCGGCACTAGGTTTAGAACATTACTAGGTGGGTAAATCTGACAGTTGAACTGAAGAAAGTGAAAGTGAAAGGAGAGTAACAACTGGAACCAATGATCAAGTTTAGTTGTACTAAACAAAACTTTTAAACGACATCGGAGCTTAAATTTCGTACAGCTGCTTATTCTAACTTTATAGCACTCACCTCAGAAATATTTTAAGAGAAATATTATTAAATCAAAGTAAATGAATTACAAATGAGTTGTCCTGGCTTCTAAATGAACCCAGTCTAGCCTAAGAGATGGACTTTAAGACCATAGCTATTGCCTCGGCAACGTTTGCAAGATCTGTGGTTATTGTTACGTCAGTTCACTTGGTGGTTTTATGTCTCGTGCCGTTGGACACACACAGTTTAATGTGTAAATGATCATCTAAAGCCACGGCGCGCACGACTGCTTGGTATACTGTTAATTTATTTTAAGGTCTTAAGCTGTCAATGACTCCTTCAGTCCATCTTCTTCAAGGTCCCTATCTGATATCTGCCTCTTGGCGATTCCGTTCTCATATTTAAGCTCTCGCTGCTGGCATCATGTGGGTTCCATAGCGGGACCTTCGGTAGTACCACAGACGTTCCCGCCCAGAGGGTCCTATCGGTAAAAAAAAAAAGGGGGGGGGGGGGAAATTCCCTTTGCGAGAAAGGTCCCTGATTATGGATTTGCTGAATTTGGACGTGTCAGATGAAGCTATCTCGGCATAGCTGTAAACTTTAATACAATATGCCAAATGCCCTTTTAAGGGCGAAAGTAAAGGTAGAAGAACATACCACAGTAGAAGTTTTCTTTTTAAAATGTATCACAATAAAATCAATTTAAACGAGATGTACTGGGAAATCCGTTTTTTTTTTTTTTTGGGGGGGGGGGGGGGTGGGGGGGGGGGGGGGGGTGGGGGAGGGGGGGAGTCTTCCGTGAAGCATGTCACAATGTCCATCCACGCTTCTTCTTCTTTTTCCCTTTTCTTCTTCTTCTTCTTCTTCTTCTTCTTCTTCTTCTTCTTCTTCTTCTTCTTCTTCTTCTTCTTCTTCTTCTTCTTCTTCTTCTTCTTCTTCCGTTTTTCTGGCTTTTTTGTGTGCAGTTTGTTGTTCCTTGCCGCTCAGGCAGATGTATCTCATTTGTCAGAAAGCCCCAAGTAAGTCGACTTCTACGACCTGCTTACTGGGAAGCCAGTGGGTCTTTTCTTGTTTTCCCCCACAGTGGGCCCCTAGAACCCACATGCAGTCATCCACGCTTGAACGGTGTTTTATAACTGGCTATCCCCGTGTGGGTACCGGGGCCCCATTATAGGGAAAACAAGAATAGACCCACTGCCTACCCAAAAGCATGTCGTAAGAGCCGACTAATTGGGAGCTTCCTTTGAAGTCGGAATGCATCTTCCTGAGAGGCAAGGAACCAGCAGTCTGCATACAAATGAGCCAGATCTGTAAAACGATTGCACACGCAACACTCAGTTTCTGGAACAGAACTGCAGTCTAGAGGTGGACGAACAACCAGAACTTTTCACCGGAGTTTACAGCTGGTGAACGCGACGACGAAGAAGAAGATAACTGGCTATTATGAAGCTACAGGACTGCTGCTTGTGACTTCGGGAAAATTTCGCCGTTAGGCCACAATCTCTTCCATGTTGCAATTCTCGCCGCTACTGTCAATAAACGGCAAGATAAGAGGTCAAACAGGTATCCTATGCGATCGGATCGGCCATTAGCTTGCCGGTAGAAGACTTCGTCATCGGTCGGTAAAGTACTTGGGTCTCTTTTGATCGTATCAACACTGCAAGGGTCCCTTTTGAGGGCTACTTGATGGCGAGCAATGCTGAATCCTTAAGATTCATAAGCCTCCAAAGCTGTCTTGGAAAGACTGGAAAGATTTGTGAACGGTTACTTAATTTCCTGGAAGAAAACAAGACA